AACAAATACGGAGCCAGTGGGATGTCTTGTCTAATACTTGTCCCATGAAACGATTGATCAATATTTCTAAGGGTCAAACTGTCGACAGTAACATATCCCTCTTTTTTCCTCATGTGAGTGGTTAATTGTAGTGTTTTTTTGGATACATGATTGAATTAGTTTTTTTAATTAATTGTTAATTTATGAATAATCTTTTCTTTTGATTCGGACATGTAGGGTGATGATTCTGGTGCTAATCGAGTGATCTTGCAAGATACTTGCATGGATGCAACTGGATCTCTTTTGGTTTATGCTACAATTGATTCACAAGAAATTAATACCGTGATGAAAGGGGGAGACTCTTCTTGTGTGACTCTCTTCTCAAATGGAATAACAATAGTCCTGGATTGTTTTCAAGATGTTTTTACAACTAATAACTATAATGTTATTTCTGGGGAGATGAATAATGGGTTCGGTGGTGGATCGTTGGTGATTATCAGCTTTCAAATGGTGGGGAACATCTTTCCAGCTACAACTCTTTCTATGGAGTTGGTCAAAGAAGCAAATGCACTCATCTCACAAACAATTCATAAGATCAAGAGTGCTCTTAAATGCAAGTGATATTTGAAGACTATCTACCATCCATTGATATGTTATGTGTTTTGAGTCTCTACTGTCTTTCTTGATTTGGATCATCATATTATTAGATTGTACTATTTTGAGTTTATCTAAAAAAATCATATTGATATTTGATTCTCTATTGCTTATTTGATTTTGTTTTACATTAATGTTCTTGATCTCAAGCCAACTTTATAATAATCTGAGCGAAAATTAACTTTTTTTTTAAATTAACAAAATTTTGAATCTCACATTTGTTATTAAATACTATCATTTCGCATTGAACAAACACATTCACCTAATAAATATAATGTAGGTTATCGGGAAGAAAAATGATTGTATCATATATAAAACTTTGAAGTGACAACTTCGATTATTGGCTAAGTGTTGTGAAGTAGCGTTTAACTATTTGAGATTTATAGAAATTTTGAAGTGGAAGCATCCTGAGGAATATGTTTGATAAATTCATTATCATCATAGATTACTAGTAATAATAAAATGTAAATATTGGCTATATTTTCAACATAAATAAATAATTATTCTGTTTTACTTTCAAATAAATATAAGGGAAAATGCATGATTACACCCCAACCTGAACTATACAGAAAATTTCAAACACACACACTTTATATTTGTGGGAGTTTTATAACCCCTTGAACTTTTTAAAAGTTTAATAAATATTATCTTAACTACTGACTTGGAACAAATTCAACTATATTAGAAGAGTGAGTTCAAAATGAGTTGCTCGGATGGTAAGCACCTCTCACTTCCAAACCGAAGGTTGTGAGTTCGAGTCACCAAGGGAGCAAAAAGGGGTGGGATCTCCTAGGTAGGGTCAAAAATAAAAAAATAAAAAAATAAAAAAAAATAGTTCAAAATGAGTATCAACATATTTGCTTCCTGTCATTCAATTCAAATTTGAGGGCAATTGTAACTATTCAACTCCCTCTAATTTATGCCTGCAAATTTATGTGTCACTAGGAGTAGTAATTGCAGTCTTTCTAGTTTGGTACCTTTGGACCCATATTGATATGACTTCAACATCTCTTCTATTTTCCATTCTTTAGCGCAAGTGGGAGGAATTGCAGTGTTCTTTTATTTATTTTTTCCCATTCTCTCTCACTTGCAT